TGAGTCCACGCCACGACCAACCTGTCGCCCTGAGGTTCTTAATCTTGCTTGTTTTGATCCACTGCTCCAACACATAATAACCAAATGACCTTCCTCGTCGATCAACCCGCAAACTTTGACCCTGAAGCTTCACCTCAAAGATCTTGACCCGATATTCTACCAAGAACAAGATCTTGAATCTTCGACCTCCAGTCCAATCTGACCTAATCTGTGCTCTGCAATCTCGTGGACCTTCTACTAATGATCCCAAGCCCAGGTACGCCTCCCTCTGTCCAAGTCCTGCTCCAAATCAAACATCCGCACATCGGACCACTCTTCCGGCTTCTGTCTCGCGGCCGAACTAGCCTAGATGTCTTCCCATTCCACAATGCATCACGTGCAGTCAACCTAGCCTCCCCCACTCCCGAGTCACTCCGCGCCTCCGCTTTAGACCCTCGCCCATCCGCCTTCTCCAAACACCACGTGAACCCTGCGTAGAGTCACCTTGCTCTAGCCCGCTAGCTCCACTCACGCTCGTCCGCCCTCGCACTCTTGATTGCGACACCAGGCTTGTGCAGCCTTCCTCCAGCATTCACTCTTCTTGGCCTGTTCGAATACCCACGGGTCCACGAGTCTTCTCCAGATCGCAGCATCAGGTCACTCGGCCTTTCCTGTTCACGCAATCTAGGTCATATGTGGCCTGCTTCTTCTTCCTTGCTGTGAATCTTGTGAAGAACTCTTCCTTGCTCAATACATGCGATCGGCCAATGATGTGGCACCGGATAGTTACTATGCACATGGGAGTAGCCGATTTCTCTAACAGAATTGCCAACGTGGCCACCTGCTATGAGATTCTTACCTAGTCTCCACTACTCCTGCTAGTCTGCTAATTAGTTGCATTTTTATTTCAGGTTTTTCAGTTTAGTATTACTTTATTACCCTTACTTTCAGCTACAATATTAAGCTCTTCTAAGAAAGGAAAACTGGTAGAAAAATTTCCAATAGAAAGTTACTGTTCCATTGCTTGGAATCGTTTGTGTTTTGTGGCTTTCAGTTGCAGGAACGAATCCTTGCCGATCGGTCTCACACCATCTGGTATCAGAGCTTCCGATTCCGGGAACTGGGATGGCTGAAGGAAGCCGAAGAGCTGCTCCTGACGATGATCGGAGCCAGGATGAGTTGCGGACCGTTGTGGAAAATGTCTCCAAGGAACTGAAGGAGCTTGCTGCAGAGTTCCGGCGATTCGCCATGGACACACGAAGGGAAATACAGGCTTTGAAGCAGCACAGTGGCGTACCCACTGGCGGCCGAAGATTGGCACGCGACGATACCTCGCCATTCCGGCGGGAACCCGTCAATGCTGAATGGACACCACACGAGCTTCCGACCGTTTACCCGGTTTTTTCCGATTCGGATGAGGATCAAGAACCTCAGATGGGAACCGAACAGATGAACGGGTTTATGCTGATGGCAGAGGAGCTAGGCGCACCCGAGACCGACCGACCAATCACCAAGGTGAGTTTCGTGTCAAGATTGACATTCCTTTTTTTGAAGGTCGCCTTCATATCAAAGATTACTTAGACTGGGAACGAGCTGTTGAAACGTTCTTCGACTACATGGAAATCCCTGCCGAGAAGCAAGTAAAATATGTCGCGTGTCGCCTGAAGGGTGGCGCTAGTGCGTGGTGGATGCAAGTGCAGCAAAATCGCCACCGAGAAGGCCGAGGTCCAGTCAGTAGTTGGCTCCGGATGAAACAGTTGATGCGGGGGCATTTTCTCCCTACCGACTATGAGCAACTCCTTTATCATCAGTACCAACACTGCTCACAGGGTTCGCGGAATGTCAGCGAGTATACTGAAGAATTTTATAGGTTAAGTGCTCGGAATAACCTGCGGGAATCGGAAAACCAGCTGGTCGCTAGATACACGGGGGGCTTGCGGGAGTCATTGCAGGATAAATTACAGCTCAATTCCTTATGGACCTTGTCACAAGCGGTTAATTTCGCTTTTAAAGCTGAATTGCAGTTGTCAAGGCATTCCAAAGGCTACAGCACCAGACGGCAATTCCCAGACCAATCCAACGAGTCCAGAAACAGAACAACACCTGCTGTACCAGCTGTGGATCCAAACACTGCATCGCCTTCAGATGGGAAGGCGCCTCAATTGCCACGCCCTCCACCGAGGGATAACCCGTATGTTAAGCCTGCAACGCTCAAATGTTTTCGCTGTTTTCAACCTGGGCACAAGTCTAACGAGTGCCCAACAAGACCACAGCTTCAATTAGTGGAAGGCGATGTTGATGACACAGAGGACCGCATCCCCGCTGATTATGATGATTGCATAGAGGAGCTGGCACCAGATGAGGGAGAGCTTGTTATATGTATATTAGAAAGGTTACTCTTAGCACCCCGCCAACCCGTGACGTCTCAACGGAACGCAATTTTCCGCACACGATGCATTATTGGAGGACGGGTATGTGAACTTCTAATTGATAATGGATGCAGGGACACGATCAAGACTTCCTTATGTGACGCCCCTGTCCTCACATTACCGAATTTTGATCTTCCTTTCCAAGTAGACACTGATGCTTCTTCGGTGGGCATCGGTGCCGTGCTATCACAGTCTGACCGGCCAGTCGAATTTTTCAGCGAGAAACTTAGCACTGCCAGGCAGAAATGGACAGTATACGAACAAGAACTTTATGCTGTCGTCCGAGCTTTAAAGCATTGGGAGCATTATCTATTACATCAAGATTTTGTCCTTAGCTGCGATTATAAAGCATTGCAATTTCTTAACAGCCAGAAGACTATTAATCGTATGCATGCTCGGTGGATCCTCTTCCTACAGAAGTTCACTTTTGTCTTAAAACATAAGTCTGGCAACCAAAATAGGGTGGCGGATGCTCTTAGCAGACGGACAGCATTAGTAACTCAACTTCAAACTGAATTGACGGGGCTTGAATGCCTTCGGGAGCTGTATTCCGAAGACCCAGATTTCTCTACAATATGGAAACAATGCAATGACCTCCAACCCGTCGCAAATTATTCCCTCCGGCATGGATATCTTTTTCGAGGAAACGCCTTGTGCATTCCTGACTCATCCTACCGGCAGCAATTGGTTAAAGAGGCACACTCCGGTGGCTTGGCTGCCCATCTTGGACGGGAGAAAACTGTACAGCAATTGAAGGCACGCTTCTTCTGGCCAAAACTTCACCGAGATGTCTCACGTTTTATTGAGCGTTGCGCTATCTGTCAAGAATTCAAGGGAACTAAACAAAATGTCGGACTCTATACTCCCTTACCTGTTCCTGATTCCATCTGGGAGGACATTAGCATTGATTTTGTATTGGGATTGCCACGGACTCAAAGGGGAGTTGATTCAATTATGGTCGTTGTCGACCGTTTCTCAAAAATGGCACACTTCGTTGCTTGCAAAAGAACTATTGATGCTGTTAACATCGCACGCTTATTCTTTAATGAAATTGTGCGTTTACATGGTTAGCCGCGAAGTATCACGTCCGATCGTGACGTTAAATTTGTTAGCCACTTTTGGCGTGAACTGTGGAAACGACTACATACGTCGCTTAATCTTAGTTCCGCCTACCACCCCCAATCAGATGGACAAACGGAAGTCATCAACCGTACTCTCGGCAACATGCTACGGTGCTTGGTACAAAACCAGCCCAAACAGTGGGAGAATGCACTCAGTCAGGCGGAATTCGCTTTCAATTCTATGCCTAACCGATCCACGGGCCAAAGTCCCTTCGCCATTGTTTACACCAAGGCCCCAAATCACCTGTTTGACATTGCAATTTTGCCTAAATGTGCTAACAAGTCGGCGGCAGCTCTCACCGATCAATGTCAGTCCGTCCTCGAAGAGGTACGCATGAAACTAATCACTTCCAACTCTTCTTATAAACAGGCAGCAGACAAACATCGACGACATGTCACCTTCCAACCGGGCGATTTGGTCTACATTCGACTCAGCAAGAACCGGTTCCCACCTGGAGCTAATTCCAAATTGAACCCCCGGAAGTTCGGTCCAGTTCCAATCCTTAAACGCATCAACGACAACGCCTACGTTGTCGATTTACCTGATACGATGCACACCTCCAAAACCTTTAACGTAGCTGATATTTTTCTGTATCATCCCCCTGATGAACCTGGCGCTGCTCATATTCAGGTGGAACCTGAATTTGCCGCGGCGGGGGGCACCTGATGTGGCACCGGATAGTTACTATGCACATGGGAGTAGCCGATTTCTCTAACATAATTGCCAACGTGGCCACCGGCTATGAGATTCTTACCTAGTCTCCACTACTCCTGCTAGTCTGCTAATTAGTTGCATTTTTATTTCAGGTTTTTCAGTTTAGTATTACTTTATTACCCTTACTTTCAGCTACAGTATTAAGCTCTTGTAAGAAAGGAAAACTGGTAGAAAAATTTCCAATAGAAAGTTACTGTTCCATTGCTTGGAATCGTTTGTGTTTTGTGGCTTTCAGTTGCAGGAACGAAGCCTTGCCGATCGGTCTCACACCAGCCAATAGTGCGACCTCTCCTCTCTTGTCCGCCTTACAAGAACAAAATCATGTTCCTTGCCGAGCCCATAAGCTTCTTCCTCGATCACCTCAACGAGGCTATGATACCATTTTTTAGAAATTGGGAATTTTGAGAGTTTCTTGAGTTCTTCTTGATCTTCTTGCAAGAGAGAGGAATCCTATACAGTTTTATTCAATTTTCCTCAAAACTTTACATCAACATGTAAATTCTATTTATAGGAATTTACATGAGTGTGATAGCGTGCCAATCAACCTAATCTAAAACTAGACCAACACCTTACAAATTCTTTATGAATAATTTGAGATAACTTCATAGTTTTTTTTTTTTCTTTCCTGCGAAGATTACTTGCAACCGAATTTTGACTACTGTGCTCTTGCCTCGAATCAAGGTCTGTTTTAGTTGTTGAAAATTTTTTTTTTTTTTGAACATTTAGACTTATTAAGATTAATTCATACACATATTCTATATAAAAGATTTGAATTTATAAAATCTCTTGATTGAAGGCTCCAACCAATGGAGTAAGACAAGCTGCATAGAAGTTGAACTCAATACACCTTTATCTCTTCTCCACTACGGTTTCAGTACTTGTACTAGTTCATCTCTGATCCTCTTAATTAAGAACAAAACTCTGTACAAACTTTTTACTTTTTTCTCTTAGAAAGGCCACATCCATAGTTTTCAAATATAAACGGCGATCTTTCATAATCTAGGACTACGAAGCTTTTCTCACTTAACTAAGCAATCAACTTCCCAGTCCAGGCATTCAGCTCCAGTGATCGGAGCCATACCAGGTAAAAACCGGGTTTTGTTCTTCTGGAAAGAAATCACTTGAATGCTCTTCTCCAGCTAAAAAGTTATGCTCCTCCTTTGGAAAGAAGCTTCTTTGAATTCTCCATTCCGAGCTCAGCTGGAAATCAAAAGCGCCGCCGCCCACCATCAAGCTCTGTGGCTCCTCTGGTTCGGTCGGTCGGCGATGGAGCTCCGGCAGCAACGGTGCTCCACAATGATACGGGCTGTTTTCGTCGTAGACCACCGCGCTGGAGTCGCTATCAGATGATCCATCCTTGTATGTAACCGCCGCCCCCATCGCCGTCTGGGGCTGCGGATCCTCGACCGGAGCTGCTTTACTCTCAGACTCCTCCTCCGTCAACCCCAGCTTTGTTTTAAACTCCTTGACCTGCAACAAGATGAAATTTTGAACATGAAGATCTGAGCAAAATTGAATTTTGGAAGGGGTGTGGGTATAAGCTAACCTCTGCGAGGAGGATTTCTTTATCGCGGCGGAGGGAATCGCAGTCGATAGCGAGAGCATCGTAGCTAGTTCGGAGAGCAGCGTAGTCGCGTTCGAGCTGCTTCGTCTTCCACCGAGCGCGGCGGTTCTGGAACCAAACTGCGACTTGTCGCGGCTGCAGACCGAGGTCAAGGGCGATCCGGACCTTTCTCTCCGGATCCAACTTGTTCTCCACCTCAAAGTTCTTTTCTAAGGCCCTTACCTGCTCTAAGCTCAGACGACGCTTTTTTTCACCAGCCGCCAAGGGAAGTTCGCCGGAGAAAAGTCCCTCTTCTTCTTCGTCCTCCTCCACCCCATCTAGAATCGTTGGAAGCTTTACAGCGTACAAGTCCCCTGAAACAAAGAATCCAACTAAAAACCCGTCAGAGAGAAGGATGGTTTAAGGAACAGACCGGAACAGAAGATTCAGCGAACTAAGTTTCTCTACCTCCAGTCACAGAGTCTGAACTCCTGGGTCTCTTCATGGCTAAAATCTATCAAGGATCAAAGAAAGGACGGGCCTTGAACTGGTCCTGAGAGTTTCTATACTTCCTCTACGGAGAAGAATCAGTAGAAATGATGGGTCTCTTCCACGACCCCCACTGTCTCTGCCTTCGTCACCATGATCTTTGCTTCTTAACCCATCACCAAAATCAAGCTTTTTGTTTAAGTTAAAAGATTTCTACAGAAGTTCATTTACAGCGAAGAGGCAGAGAGAGAGAGAGAGAGAGAGAGAGAGAGAGAGAGAGGTCGTTTGCTGTGGGATGGGGGCTCCGCAGAGATATAAATAGGGGGACGCGAACTTTTTAGCAGCGAGGATTTGAATCCACCCAAAATTTTAGAGGGATCATGCAGGCGATTGGCATATTATTTATGTTTTTTTTTTCGTGAAATTTAGATCTTATATCATAAATATAAGATTTGAATTTATTATCTTTTAATTTATAGCGAAAGCATCCAACCAAATTTATGATTTAATAGATAAAATTTTGAGTCGTCTACAAAAATTGATTATGGTTGTGTCATGGAGTATTCGCAACGGTAGAGAAATATAAAGTTTAGTATCTTAGCGTTGTACGAAGATCTAGCACACAAACAGATAAGAGAGAGGGTTAGCATTCATAAGAGACACTGGAGTTTTTACATGGAAGCTCCTAAAAAGAGAAAAAATCACAAGATTTGACCAAGTTTGAATGAATCCACTAGTATTTGCAGCCGATTACAAATGACGCCTTTCTTAGGGAGAAGGCCTTGGCTTGATGTCACAAATGTACATCATATAGAGCGCATTACATGGTGGGAGTTACAATAATTAACATAGACTGCTCGTTTGGTCTGCAGGACCATAGTTGATAGGATAGAGGTCGAAAAGACCATAGTAGGTAAGAGACTAGGATCAAAAAGAATGTTGTCCGCCAATGTAGGTCGGAAGGACCGTAGTATGCAGGATACCGAGGTCAGAAAGATCATTGTCTAGTGATGTAGGTAGGAAGGATCGTAGTAGGTGACGAAGGTCGGAAGTGAATGTGCAAGGTGCTCCAAGAGGGAGAGGGGGTGAATTGGAAATTTTTGTAATAAAATAATAATCTTAAACATGAGTTCTAATTTTTGTTATTTTTAAATTTTAAATAAAAATTTAACTTGATGCGGAAGTGAATGATTAAAACATGATTGCACGTAAGTGGTGAAATTTCAATCACATAATAAAAGATCTAGACTAAACTTTCACCAAGCAGTTATAACAAATGTAAATTGCAGAACATAAGTAAAGTGTAGTAAACAAAAAATCACATAAACTTTTCACCAAGAAGTTATAACAAATGTAAATTGCAGAACATAAGTAAAGTGCAATAAACGAAAAAATCACGCAAAAAGATTTATAATGGTTCGATCACTTGACTCCTTGGAGCCCTCCACTCAGGGAATTTCACTACTCAAAAGTAATTCTCTTTTTTCCCCCACAGTAAGGCAGAGAAGCCTTTACAAACCCTCACTTTCACCTTCCCCGGTGTGGCGGAGTATCAAGCACTATGTCACCCTCCTAGTGACGGCAGCAAACCTCCTCATTTTTCTGCAAAGTACCTTAGAGGACACAGAACTTGAAGGATCTCTCCCTTAGAAAGCTTCCCACATGATCTTCTCGGGCCATAGGAGGATCAAGAGTGCAGCAGGCTAGGAGCAACCGTGTGATCTCTCTCACAAACTCACATTCTCCTTCCTTTCACAAACCTAAAATCTTTTCAAGTAGTTCTCTCTCAATAAATCCCCTTCTTGTCATGTTCCCTCTCTCTTTTTTTTCAAAAGACAGAAGTTTCATATATAAATCAGGCTCCAAGAAACCCTAAATTTTTAATATAGCCATTTATGTTCGTACAGTATGATTATTTTAAAAAAGCCTTCGTCCTGGTACGAAGGAGTACGAACATGCAATTTTTTTTAAATAACATTGTATAGTACGATACAACATCGTCCAATACAATATATTATTTTTCTTCTGTTCATACAGAACAAACGTTGGAATGACCAAAACTCATCTCTATTCATCATCTCGTACAATCCACTTGGTACAATATGATAAGTTAAAATCTTAAGGTCGCCCAGTATGATGTTCATATCGTCTAGCACGATTAGTTCAAAAATTAAGGGATCATCTGGTGAAATGTTTGGAATGATCAAAAATAGCCTTAGTTGATCGTACAGTATGAACAGGTCATACAATACGATTACCAATCAATAATAAACCCTTGATTTAATTGATTAATCACGGGGGTTAATTTAAGTAAGTATTCAAAATTTTGTACAATATGATTTGTTCAAAATTTAGGATTTAAAAACTTACTTAAATTAATCTGACGGCTAGGGTTTCAAATTAAAAATACATAGTACAGTACGATATGGATCGTACAGTATGATAAGTTAACAGATAGCCGTTGAGCCGCAGTAGTTCATACAATACGATTTAAACTAGTATAGTATGATATATAGAGAGTTAAAAAAGAATTTTTCACTTAAAAAAAGCTCTCCCCCTATATGTGTGCTTGTTTACTCAATTTGCATACACTTTATGGCTAGACTCAAGAAAAGAAAAAAATAAATAAATAAAAAATATAGCATTACAAACTTTACATCTTATTGTACCCAGTCTTGAGTCTTCTTGTTATCTTCAGTAATTATGTGTCCTCGCCGAAATGTTAGTACTCACAGACATGAGCAAAATTCAAGATATTCAATGATAATGAAGTAATTTAAATCAACATTATTTGTCATCATCAAAATCTCAGGCTATGCGTCATGGACTGCAATAGGAAGGATCATAGTGGCAGGAGACAAGAGTCCAAAAGATCGTAGTTGGCCGAAGATCGGGGTTAGAAAGACCGTTGGCATAGGGTAATAATCTGGTAGAACTCTAGGCATCAGTTGGTGGCCCGACAGAAGTTTGGGCCTCAGGTGTTGGTCCGGTAGAAGTTTAGACCTTAGATGGTGGTGGTGCTAGAGGGAGGGCCTCAAGTGGTGGTCTGGTGGAGGTGAGGGTCTCAAGTGGTGGTTCAGTGGAGCAACGTCGTCAAGCGGTGGTCCGGCAGAACTCAGGCTGTGGTCAAGGAGGAGCGATCTTTGATCTACCAAGGATGTATAACCTATCCAAGGTTGTATATCAGAGCCTTTGCTCGATAACGTTAACATTTATAGAATAGGTCTAAAAAATCCATCAAGGATGTATGACCTATCTAAAGTTATATGTTAGAGCCTTTGCTCCAAGACATTAACATATATGGAAGAGGTCGAGAGAATCCACTAAGGGTGTATGATCTATCTGAGATTGTATGTCTGAGCCCTACTTGATATCGTTAACCTGTATGGAAGAGGTCGGAAGAATCCACCAATGATGTATGACCTATCCTTGAATTTGTGGAATTTTTTTTTTAAATATCATCTTGATGTTGAAAGCATTGGAGGAATCTTCTTGATCATAGTTGGAGTCAAAGTTGCCCCTTTGTTTGGATCTAATTCCCATGAAATTAATGCATCAATAGATGAAGTCAGGAAGTTGATATGAATGACCTTTTGAGATTGGAGCAAAAATTTCCCCACAGTCGAAAACTTGGTTCTCACAAACAGCACCAAACTGTTGCGTCCTGGAGTATTCACGGTGGAAGAGAAATATAAAGTTTAGTGTCTTAGCGTTATACGAAGATCCAGCACACAAGCAAATAAGAGAGAGGGTGTAACGTTTATAAAAGACACTAGAGTTTTTACATAGAAACCCCTAAAAAGGGGGAAAAACCATGGGATCTAGCCCAGATTGAATGAATGCACTAGTATTTATAGTCGATTACAAATGAGGCCCTTCTTAGGGAGAAGGCCTTTGCTTGTTGTCATAAATGTATATTATATAGAGTGTATTACTTGGTGGGAGTTACAATAATTAACATACACATATTCGTTTGGTCGGTAGGACCATAGTTGATAGAATAGAGTTTGAAAAGATCATAGTAGGTAAGAGATTAGGGTCAAAAAGATCATTGTTCACCAATGTAGGTCGGAAGGACCATAATATGAAGGATACCAAGGTTAGAAAGACCATTGTCTAGTGATGTAGGTTGAAAAGATTGTAGTAGGCGACGGAGGTCAGAAGGATCATAATTGGCAGGAGATTGTGGTCCAAAAGATTATAGTTGGCCGGAGGTCGGGGTCAAAAAGAACGTTGTTGTAGGGTAATACTATGGTGGAACTCTGGGCATCAGGTGGTGGCCCGACAAAAGTTCATGCCTTAGGTGGTGGTCTGGCAGAAGTCCAAGCCACAGGTTGTGGTAGTGCTAGAGGTATGGCCTCAAGTGATGGTACGACGGAGGTGAGGGCCTCAAGTGGTGGTCCGGCCTAGCAACGTCGTCAGGCGGTGGTCTGGCGGAACTCAGGCGGTGGTCGAGGAGGAGCGAGGAGGTAGGAGTGATCTTCGATCTCTCTCTCTCTTGATCACTTGCTTATAGCCTCTCTTTCAAGAGAATGGATGGGTCTATTTATAGATTTTTGAAGTGGCATGGCCCTTAAATAGGTGAGAGATCAAGGGTAAATGGGGAGTTGTTGGATGGATGACTGATGTTTAATCCCTTGATCATATATGGTTTGATGGACATTTGAAGGTCTTAGTGATGTCAGAATTCAGTGAACTTGGACTCGTTGGATTCGTCTCGTCGAGCCGCTCGATTCGATCATAAGCATGTCACGTTGGAAACCAATTGGTAATCCAAATTGTGGTTCGAACCCTCTAACAGTGCTTCAGACCCTTGATTTGGACCCATTTGGGCTCGGATTGAGTCAAATTTGGTGTCGTTGGGTTCGTATTTTCGAGACATTCAGTTCAAATATAAATTTTTTTAAATCGGAGTTTAGATGGTCCTAATTTTAATTTCAAAAGTTTCCAACTTGATTTTGCCTCGAGATTCGTGCCTGATCAAGAAAATTTTTTAAGGATGTATAAAAAAAGAATATTTATCCAAAACTAATTTGATCATATTCAATATAACATTAAATTATTTGATCCAAAATTAATTCATAATATTGTTGCATCATTAAAAATCATCTTGGTCGTACACGAATCTAGACATATATTCAGGTAGAAAATTTCCAAAATTAAATTCGGGACCATCTAAACACCAATTTCAGTAAACTTATAGTCAAACTGAATGTCTCAAAGAGATGAACACAACAACACCAAAATCGACCCAATCCGAGTCCAAATGGGCCAAAATTAGGAGTCTGAA